GAGACTGGGAGGACTGGTGCGCTACAAATATCCCTAGATGAAAAATTGCTAAGCAGATAGGCTGCACTCCCTGAATGCAATTCAAGGCTTAATTTTCAAGGTTGGTTGGAGTGTATTTTGTCTTTCTTTCACCAAAGGCTGTGGCACTGCACGGTGAACTCAGCAGAAATGCTGAGCCATACATGCAAATACTCTCACCCATTTATTCAGTATTTAATGTCTCCAACTGGTTTTTAAAAGGTTATCTAAATGAGAGCATTAGACAACGTTACCTTTTTGATTAGAAAGGCCTGGGATTAAGATGTGACATCTGATATTACTTGCTTTAATATTCACACTATGCTTTAGAAATTAAGAATTCAGGGGCACTTTTTTTTCCAAGGACAACAAAGGCCTGGAGCAAATGATAAAATAATTGGAGCAAATGCTCTTAAAGTAGGAACAGCTTTTAGCCTGAGGCCATATAAATTGCACATTCCATTTTCAGCATTTTGCCCGTACTCTGGTTTTTTTGGCTATACCATTTGTAAAAACAAAGCATTTGCAATATTAATTCACTTTTAAATGGCAGGAAATGAATGTTGTGATTTTATTATGGAGCCAAAAAGCCATCCATTGTAACCGGAGTATAAATTGAGCAAAGCTTTCTGTTAAAATGTACTATTATTAAAGCTTATTATTTTTGAGTGAAGCATAAAAAAAAAGCGAGAGAAAAAGTGCAGCAAAATATCTCTTATTGGATTAATAATATGGCTGCTTTCAAGAGCCATTTCACTGTGATGTGTATCATCAGTGTATGTACGAGCGAAGCTGCTGATGTACAAATGCCTGGTTCATTTCTACATTAAATGCTCTTTGTGATAAATGTTTAAGCCTTTAACAAACATCGTAATACAAAACATTTATTAACTGTGCAGCAGATGATCATTTTAAAGTAATTTTTTAAAGAGTTTTTAACAGCCTAATAATATGATGTTAACATCAGTGTAGTCTCCTACATACTCTTACCTCCCCCAACCTTTTTTTTTCTTTTTACATTTCAAATTACGGCTTATAATATATTTACTTATTGCTAAACACAGGCTGATTTACCTTGAAAAAGAGGAATACATTTTACTTAAACCCCAAGTCCAGCTATTGCATGCCCTTTCCCTGCACCTTAAATCCTGCAGTTTTCGGGCCGGGCACATGACATCACAGGTCTTTCCTCTTCTCTTCCAGAGGTGTCGGTGAGGGGTCCTTAGTCTTGGATGGAGTAAACCTCAAGTAATTATGGCTGTTCTGTGCAGTAGCATTATAAGCCCAGGCTTGCATGATAACTCGCCCAAGGTAGTGTTTGGGGGAGGAAATTTGTAACTCTGGCCAGCCTCTTGTTTGTTTAAATGGTACCCCTTGTATGTCCCTCATGTAGGTCTCATCAGGCCTTTTACACTTGTTTATTTGGATGTAGATAGAGATTTTGTTTATGAAAATAATACAAACTGAAAAGCAAACTTTGACCGTTGCCTTAAATATAACGGTTCAATTAGTCTATTTAATAGATAAAATTATAAATAAAAGTAAAAATGTCTGGATTTTAAAGATGGTTGCCTGCCAGCTGCTCTCCATGGTCGTTTCTATGGTGATTTTTGCTGTTGGTTTTAGAGGGTTTGCTTTAAATGTCATTGTCATCTGCTTAGAATACAAAATGGCCACAGAGAATACCCCTTCAATATCAGAAAGACCTTCTAGTCATTTCATGTGTTTGCTTAATAAAAAAGCCTTTATTGTGCTTTGAATGGGATGCAACGGAATTCATCCAAATTGCTGGTGTTCTGTGTTTCCCTATAGAGGTTGTTACAAGTAGTCAGTTTTAATTAAGGATGTAATGTGGTTTTGGCCTTTTGCTTTGCTACCAGATAACGCTTCATTTTGAACATGAGCCTTGCAGAGCCCAAAGCTAATTTAGGAACCTCAAAGAGCTTATGCAAAAAGACTGTGACATACAAAAAATTACGTGACACAACTGCCATCGTCAAACAGTGTTATAAGATAAACTAACTTTGGATCATGCAGAGTTATATAATTTTGATAATAATTATAGTAATGAAATAATTTTATGTGAACTATGGTTTTTCTAGCTCCTTAGCAAAGCACGTCTCCTAATAAAGAATTGTAGCTTTGAGACAGATTTATGTTGGCATTCTATTATGTGAAGATTCTAGTCTGAATTATATTCTGCCTCTTCTATTATCAACCTACTCTGTCAGTGTTGCATTTTGTTTGAGGCCATTGTCTCATATTAACCCTTCCATGGTGCATGTTCTAGCCATGATATATATTGAATGTGTTTAGTAAAACATTGCAGGGCATCATTGGTAACGTTCAAAGTCCAGGACCTGCACCAGACAATCAGTTTTTAGCTCTGACTGGCTATGGGTTACCACAGTGTACAGTTCACTCTTTGCCGTATTAAAAAGATGGGCTCAGATAGAAAGATGTCTCCCTGACACTTAATGACGGTGAGACATCTGTTGTAAAACCTCTGCAAGTGATAACGTGTGCTTCTGACAGTCAGAAACACTCTTTATCACCCTCTAGGGAAGCCACACATGGCTTAAACCTCTACCAGTCATCACTTTTGAATTGGACCTTGTATAGCCATCCAAAGCCCAACAGTGTTAAAGATTATACATTATTGTCACCTTGATAGGCGATACAAGAATCTGTTCAGTAGTCAGTGCATTTGTGGTTGTCAAAGGATAGGCTTACTGCAATTTCATTGTAATAAAATAAAAAAAACAAAAGAATACTGATTGAGCTAAGCTAGAGTTCAGCTTCTACTTTCTCTACACTTATTTCTCCTCTATCTTCCTTGCCTGTACATCGGCAAATAGGTCGTAAAAAACACTTTTATCACAGACACATTTGATTTATGTCTAGGGCTGCTGCTTGCTATTGATTTTTGTTTCCGCTAAAAAAAAAAAAAAAAAAA